TGTCATAGTAACGAAAAAAAGAATAAAAAGCAAACCCTTATTGCTTAAATTCATTGTTGATTGTAACTACCTTGTTTTGACAACAAACCAGATTTTTTCCTTGTATGCTAAATTCATAGTAATTGTAATTCTACCTGTCTAGATGAAAAATACACTGTTATAGACTCACAAAACAATACAGTAAGGGAGAAGAAACATCAGTTACATCCATCTGTTATTCTATCGTTAGCTTCTTCTCTAAGGTCATTTCATCACGGAAGTTAATATAGTTTTTTTGAATAACAGTTGATGCAGACTGACACTGTTTGACATTTCACTAGGTAAGGGAAAGTTTAGTTTCGCGATAATTTATGAAGTAAAATAAATCTCGTATCTGTTGTAACAAGGTATATCAATTGTGTGAAAAACTAGTCATTAATTAGTGTATTTAAACTCTTCATTTGTAATGTAATTTTTGAATAAGAAAGCAACGCGAATACAAAGAAAAGAAATGGTGCAGAGAATGTCAATAACACAGTTACTGAAGAATTCTATTTTGGATTATATCAATAACCCTTTGATGAACCTACTGTTATATGATATACTGCATAAAACTCACAAATGGTAAGTTTAATTATTCGGTGAACAATGATGTTTTCTGGTTTGCAGCACTGAACGAATCATTCAACCCAACTGGATAGATAGAAGCAGAACAACACCAAAAACGAGGAGCATCACGGATCATTACAAAGTAACCACCTAGTGTCTAAGCACCTCGGCTCTACAAACAGCTTAATTGCAACGGTTCTAGTGAAAGAAGTTTGAATCTCATGGGGAGCATCAGCTCAATCGAGGTTGTAAATGCACCTTGCAGACGTAATATCAATTAATATATAATCAAACCTTAAGGGTAGTAGTTCACGACTCCAGATCATATTTTTTATGACTAAATGAGACTAAACTCTGCTCACCACGTTGATTATGTTTGAATTGTATGTGGTCATTACGAACAAATTCACGTTTAGATCACCAATTTACCATGCTTTTATTTGTGAAAAATAATTGAACTTGAAGATCTTAAGTCTTAAAATTTTTACACCAAACTACTTGGAAAAAGCACCACTTGTATAAACATACACCTAATGCCTAGCTCTAAATTTTTAACACAGACGAGCAATGTCCAGCTTATTTTCTACTATTCTTCTTTGCTATAATGTGACCTACTGAACTCTAACAAGCTGTGATCTGTGGAGTCAACTGAATCGGAGCTGAGGCATAAAACCACCAATCGAGTGAGGTAATGGTCCCAACATATTGCAAATTGACTGAAGTCGCAAACGTAAACAGCTGGACTTTAGCTCAGTGAACGGTTTGTATTGTGCTACCAGCAATATCGGGAGCTCTTTTGTTTGATTGTGTGGAGGTGTTAGATCTTCAGAACTCACTTGGTAAATACCTTATTTTTGTAATTCTATTTCTAAAATTTTAATCTCTTATTTTCGCGCCTAAAGCGCTTATTTTTACCTCCATGTAATATTTTCCACTTGGGATGATCTTAAACGCTATTGGTTCGTTGTACTTTTTAGTATGCTATTTTGTAACGCTTCCCAAAGACATTTTAACGTTGTATATAAACGCTTGCGTTGTGCTTGATATTGTTCGTGCTTCTGGCTGCTTGTGGAATATATTCCCTTTTCCGTAATTGAACTTCTCTCTCTAGTTAGCGGGACTGGGACGCATTGGAATAACTAGCTTATTAACCATTGTGTTACAGTCTTCGTTCCGTTCTCAGATTAGATGAACTCATGATCTCTTCAAAAATAGGAGATTGTGTACTGCTGAGGAATCAATTATTAAGACGAAACGATCGCCAAAGTACTGCTAGATCAATTTTCAAATATTAGTTTATGATCAAAACTTTCCTACATATTGAACAAAACTTTACAAATCACTTTTTCATAATAAATTTATTATTAATTGTATTAAGTGAAATGGAAAGTTACTAGGCATGTTTACGTAAAAACGAACTAGTGTACAGTGTAAGGTAAATGAAAAATTTCGGAACATATATTGATATAGTGAGCCAATTAGTAGTAGCCAAACTAGGTCAATCGACCTGAAGGACAAGTTCATATCATTGACAAACAAATGGATTTATTTTAGAAAATGATAGAAAATGAAATTGAAACTACTGTCCCTATTAGCGTCGTGAAAGAGTTATTACTCAAATGCACCATGAATGTAAATTTCAAGTTCAACGGGGAAATATATAGACAAACTGATGGTGTTGCAATGGGTTCACCACTGGGCCCTATACTAGCTGATATTTTTCTAGCCAAACTAGAAAATGGTCCACTAAAAAAGATTATTGACAACTTCACATTTTACTGTAGATACGTGGATGACACGTTCATCCTCTGTAAAGATAATACGTCGCCCCAAGAGGTTCTTAGACGATTTAATGAAGTGCATCCAGCCATTCAGTTTACATCTGAAGAAGAGAGTGATGGCCGAATAGCCTTTTTGGACGTTCTCTTGACTAAGAGAGCGGATGGATCGTTAAAAAGGAATATAAACAGAAAAAGTACTTGGACTGGGCAGTATACGAATTTCCTGAGCTTTGTACCTCTACAGTACAAACGAAATTTGATCAAAAACCTTAGCTACCGTATTCGCACTATATGTTCTGCTGATATAGTCGAACAAGAGCTTACCACCTTGCATAATACTCTCAGGGAGAACGGCTACCCTAGAAAGTTTATAATTAAATATATGGTCACGAAGGCGAAATACAAACAGTGAAGAAGAAATCCTTGTTCATGCGTCTACAATTCAGAGGGGATGCGGCTAGCGAAATACTAACTCAGAGACTACGTAGGACAATACAAAAGTCTTTTAACGCCGGAGAACTGCGATTAGTATTTTCTACGCGCCCAATGGTTACACCGAAGCTAAAAGATGAATTACCTAGAATGACCACCTCATTTTGTATTTATCAGTTCAACTGCTCCTGTGGAGCGAGTTATATTGGTCGAAGTTCTAGGAATTTACATTTTCGTGCTCGTGAACACCTTCCGGCGTGGTTAAACAAAGGTTTGATGAAGAAGGTGAACAGCTCAATATTGGCCCATTTAGTACAAACCGGTCATAGTGCCAGTATAAACCAATCTTTTTCAATTATTTATAAGGTCAGTAATTTTTTGCCAAAACTGGTCAGACTGAAAGTCCTTCAAACGGCTGAAGCAGTAGCCATCCGAATGAAGAAACCGGAGCTATGCGTACAGAAGAAATATATTCAGCCACTCCTCCTCCCCTGGCCAACATCAAGGCCAATTAATCAATCGTAATCTTAACTATTGAATGACCCAATTTGACTATGACCTTTCGTAGTCAATTGTAATTGTCCCTGTTATCTTTATTCATAAATCTTTGTATTATTCGTATTATTGGTTAAACATCATTAATCTCCCCTTTACATGATTCATTCACTTCGCATTCATTCCTCCGTATTACGTCTTACTTATTTGATCGAATTGTAATTGCACTATTATTTCTCTCTCACCCTATTTGACCCATATTTATTCTGATCATGGATCTTAAAATTTCATTTAACATATACGCAGATTCAAGTTAACATTTTATATGAGTCATATTAACATTAACAATTTTATTGTATTTTGTTTATCACAATCCTAAATTCACATGCTCTAAACGATGTACTTTACCCTTAACTTGGCCATTTTTCGGATTAATAATTTGGATATATAACTGTAGAACCTGAAGAGAATTTATCGAAAAGAATATTCTTCATTCAAATAGTAGTCTTTACTTTTATGTAACTATAAATATTGATTATTGCTTGGTTAAAGGAGAGTTGGCTTACCAGCTATCTCCACTCTACGTCGTTTCCCTTCTTTCTATTTCATTCGCTTCATATACAAAATATATGTATTCAGGAGTCCATTCTCGTTATTTGACTTATTTAATTCCGTTATTGACTAACGCGATTTAAGTCGATGATTATATACGAGAACAGGCGACATATATAATTCAACAATAATCATCATTACGATCTCCTTGGAACCAGATCCACGGGCCACTAAAACACATCAGAATGGCTAGCTTATTGGTTTTTGGTCACAGTCTTTTTTCCGTTCACCGACTAGGTGCACTCGTAACCGCTCCAAACATATCAAGGAGCAACTGAACTCATAGATACAGATGATGATATACGAGGAGGATAGGCAAAATATCTATTCCAATAACAATCAATCATTACGATCTTCTTGGAGTCAGATCTCGGGCCACTAAAATCATTTCGAGAGGAAGAACTGTCCCTCTTCACCCTCGGCCGTATCATGGCATTTGGGGCTGTAATTATATCTAATAATTGCCCAGTTTTAAATAAGTTAACATAATCGTAGTTTGGTAATTATATGTACTGAGAAATGAAAGAAAATCTCTACTACCTTATTTAGCATACGGTTTGATAGAGTTTTATTTGATATTTAAGCTGAAGAATTCTACTACTGACTTAACCTAATCCATCAAATTAAACATACAAATTTCGAAATTAAAAACGGATTTTTTAAGAAAGTATTTTTAGTAATTACATGTTAGACATGAATCTTTGAAATAGAAGCATTAACGGGTTGATAAGCTCGGTGTCATTAATTGAATATTTAACGTTCATAATTACACAAGTACGAATGTTTCATTTAAAGAATACCATAATCAAATCTAACTACTTGTTAATGATCAAGTTCTTTCTTCTTCTGTGATGAATTGAACTAATGATTAATAATACTATTTTCTTAATGAAACATTCGATGTAATTGTACCCCCCATACCACCAAAGAAAACACATAGTAATAAGAGAAGATAATTTTTAAAGCATCCAGTTATTGTAAATTCAATTAAAACGGAATAAATTTCCTAAATGACATACTGTCATTATCACTACATTCTTTTTTTTTTGTTGAAAATAGAGTAGAGTTTAACAATAAAACAATCTTCCACTCTAATGGCATAATATATACATAGCGACTTTCCACTAACCGATTAAAGTTTTCGATTTGGTTGGTAAACTTTTTGATTGTGTGGATTTGTAGTTGTAAACAACATATAAGACTGCTCCAATAGTACTTTAGAGAGAGAACATACAGGAGAGAAAAAAACAAAGATAAATGAAAGCAGAAATTTCATAGTATCAATTTTTTTTAACACGTTCTATTTTTTGTATAATTAAACATTGGGATTCTATGTACGTAAAATTCTTTTCAATGGATTTTTGGTCCTTGCGAAGCAATGTTTCATTGGTTTTGTGCTTACGACCCATCACCAAACGTATGTCAGTCAGTCAGTAACAACGTAGAACTTCGTACGCACGTACATCAGTTCGAGTTGCCACACCACATTAGCACAGAGATGCAGTTGTCGATTCAAATCCCGTAGTGGTAGAGGTAATAAGAGTATAAGCAGTAATCGGGAAGATTAGGGTTTGGAGATGTTATTTAAAGAGTATAATCCAGTGAAATAAATTTGGAAAGAGGAAAAAAGGGACATGAAGGATTCAGAAGATTAGAATTTGGGAGAACACAGAGAGTGGATGCACCTGCGCCATTGCAAACGATTTTGAGCCATGTCATTCAGGGTCTCTAACCATCGGTTGCTATCATCTCGTATGTGGAGTCAACTGTCCGATGTGTGGCGCTATAACCAACTCATAGTTGCGCCGTCGACTTATAAACTACCTTGATTGGTTTAATAATTTCGTATATGCATATAAATATTATTGTATATTAGAGTAAAGCCGGATGAGGATCTAATCGAAAACAATATTGTTCGCTTTTATATATATATATATATATATATATATATATATATATATATATATATTGTTCTAATAATTTTAGGTTTAAAATAATGTGATTACTGTTCATGCCTTAGTAACACATTTGTAATCTATCTAATAATAGTATATTTTAGTACATTTTAATTGAAATATTTCAATATAGTGGAAGCTGTTATTTTGTCGTAAGATCCAATGAATTTAGAATTATATTTAATAGTGAATAGAATAAGATGATTACACTAATTAATGTGATTATAGGTCATAGAGAAGTAAACACAATTAAGAATATTATCTTATTTATAAATAAAATAATGAAAATATAAAGCAAGTTGAAACCAGATGATTAAAAGTCATATAGGTGTAAAAAGAAATAAGAATATTATCTGTTTCATGAATACAAAAATAAGAATTTTATATTCTTGTTTTATATTTAAAGAACCTGAAACCAGAATTATGCATACGTATGAAGTACGTCTGATTGTTAACTTAGTCTTCATTATTATTCATAAATACTGATTATATCACCGTATTTATTTTTACATCTGTATATTACCTTTAATTACTGTAACAAAGTCACCAATTTACTTATTATATTGAAATTAAACGTCATTATACCTAAATGTGAATTGATACAATTGACCTTATTCATTATTAATATGTATAATTGAGATAGAAATTTATTTTGTCCGACAACGTAGGCTTGTTCATTGACACTTAATACAACCAGTATTTCAAATGTTTGTCAAAAATGTTTATATTCATAATGTATAGATATTTCAGGTTTCATATTATAAAGAACAATAGTCACACATGACGAAAATGTACATACAGTTTTTTTTTAATTGTTCCTCTATTATGTTTCACAAAGATAGTCGATGATTTTCAAATATCATTCCATACGTTTCCGATGTCATTGACATATGACATTTACTAATTTATGCAAATAGTTTGCCAGACTGAAAACTTAGAAAATATTTGCTATTGAAATAACGTGAAAAAAATCTAACGCTCATTTCCCAAGCCCAATAACCCATTTACATGACGGCTTAAACACACAAGTATTTATTATTATTATTATTATTATAAACGGCTAAACTACAAAGAATGTACAGGTAAAAATAATTAACGCTTTTAATGGATTAAGCAAAATAACCCTATTGAAATCTGGCGTTTTATTAACGAAACCGTTTATGAAGCGAAAGTAAACAACTATTTTGTATTAAGAATTACTATTTACAAAATAACCCAATCATAAATATTAATTGCCTCTTTCTGAGAAATTATTACTTCTTTCGCTTAATTTACCGATCCTTCACGGTTCGCGTGATTTATACATCCCGTAATCAGTATTTTATCATGATGATTTATCTTGATTTTTCTTTCCAATTAACATACCATGTGTTAAGAGAAAACTTATGCACACAGGTTATTAATTGGGTGTTAAACATTTGACTACCTTTCTACTTCAGTAATCACTATTATCAAATATTCAAACCGGTTCTCGATTCTTTTTTCCAAAGCTTTCTTTTCATGAGATACATTTAATTGATCGTGTCAAGATAACTAACGACTTAAATTCAAGGTCTACTTGATCGGAAAACAAAAATTTATCCCAATACACATTCACTAACAGTTTTATTGCACGGTAGTGAAATTGAGTTGGTGTATTTTTCTTCAAAAGTCTAAATTTTTTTCAAGACCAAGATTACACAAAAAGAATTATTCATTATCATTAAATTTCAAATGTAAAAATGCAAATTATGACATCCAATCAAAGCACTTGATGCTATTTCGATTTCAACTAATCAGATTGCAAAGATGAACAGTTTACGACCAATTAAAGGTGACAACATTTTTGTTCATTATCACATGAGTACACACTTGCAAAACAAATACACTTATCACCGATCGCTAAACTTTCCTTTCACACCCTACAATTTCTAAGAAATGGGTGGTAGGGAATCATAATTGCCGCCCATTTAATGTCAACATTAATTGAAATAACCCATAGTGCCATTAAATAAGAAAAAGAGAATTCAGCGAAGAAAATTTTCTTCTCGACGAAATCATTTACTTAAGCTGTACATTCGTACATATATAGTTATATATGGAAAATATATGTCTATAGGAGAATAGAAAAGATTGCATCACCAAAAAATGGATTCGAGAATAAATAACAAATGAGGTTACGTACTAATGAAGGGGTAAGGATGAAAATAATTTATGGGTCAGATTATAGTTCAATTGACAAATATAAAGAAAAGCGACAAACACAAAAAGGTCATAATAATAGACTGAATAATAATCAACAAAACCTGTATGGGGTAATAATAACTGATTACAGTTTAGAATGCAAAACAGTAATTTATAAAGTTCAATAATAATCAAATAAAAGTGCAGAAAAACAGAAACACACCCATTAAGGAAGGATGAGAGGTTGGACAAGTCATTACTGCACGCAAAGTTCAGGCTTTAGTTCATGGATTGCTAATGCCTCAGCAGTGCATAAAATATTGATTCGATCCCCCTTCGATCCAGTTCCTGTGACTCTGTAGATTACTTTAAAAGAACAGTCCTTTGGAGCGATGTATCCTGTATCGAACTAGTAATTGTTTTACGTTCTCCTTTTAAGAGTCAGGCTGGATAGTGTTCCGAGATGCGTTTGGACAGTGATCGCTTTGTGAGGTTTATGTAACGTGTCCCACATGAGCAAGTAAATTTTTATATACACATTAATGTGGCTTAAAGCGGGAGTTTGTCCTTAACACATCCCAGAATGGTAGGTCGGCTAGAGAAAACAATTCGGAGCTTAGCTGCGTAAAATGTTTTATTCAACGATTTTGAAATCCGTTTATTTAGGATTTCAGCAGCCGTGTCTCCTTTGAATTCCATATTTATAAAGAGTTTTCTTCTGTACTGCCGATGCTTTTTCATGAAACCTGGGTGTCAAGTTGCTATCGACGAATCTAGGTGGATAACTATTTCTGATGAGGGTCTGTCGAAGATGAAATAGTTCCCCATCTGTTGTGTCATAGAAACAAATTCGCTTGATCCTTGAGGATAAAGAGTGAACTAGGTTCCTTTTTCTACTCAGTGGGATCCAACTATGGAAATTTATGTATTGTCCATTCCAGGTAGGTTTTCTGTATATAGATCTCTGTAAAAAGCCATCGGGCATTCTTTTTAAACGGACATCAAGAAAATGAAATTCATGGTTTGCCTCTGCTTCTAAGGTAAATTGAATTGATGTGTGACAACTATTGGAAATATTCAAGATTGCATTGAGGTTCATGTCTTCTTCACAAATGATGAAAGTATCATCCATATATCTCTTATATAAATGAAATCTCTCAATTATTGGTCGAAGTACCAAATTTTCTAGATTGGCCATGAAACAATCAGCCAAAAGAGGACCAAATGGACTCATAAATTATTTTCATCCTTACCTCTTGATTAGTACATAACCTCGTTTGTTATTTTATTCTCGAATCCATCTTTGTGATGTAATCTTTTATATCCCTCTACAGACATATTTTCCATGTATATCTATATATATACGAATGTACAGCTTAAGTAAATGATTTCGTCGAAAAGAAAATTTTCTTCGTTGAATTCTCTTTTTCTTATTCAACATTAATTATTTTATCTTAAAAAGGTTGTATAGAGAAAATTTTTTTAGCGGTAAAATATCTGTCGTATATCTTACCTATAAACCAGAGACTATTTCCAAGTACTAAGAAAATATTCTATCCAGTTAACTGAGTTCCGATAATTAGCCAAGCACAATTAGTTAGATAGCGAGAAAATAAACATAATTTGGCTACTGATTGTTGAGTTATGGATATATTCACTGTTAGGTATAATTTACCATCTTTCTTTATGAATTTTGTTAGTATTTATTAAGTTCAATTCATATCCAGAACCCTTTATCAATTTACATTTTATCAATATGTTGGAGTGATCCAGAAAATTGCTTGCAAAAGACAAGCAAGCATCAGGAAACACTAAGAAGCATTCCGTCCAATCAGCGTTCACTTGAAGTCTTAGCCAAAAATATGGAGGAAGCGAAACGTCACATGCAGAGGCTCTGATTGGTTGGCTGTTACACTGCTACTATGTTTAGTAGCATTCCAGAATCTTTTGGCAACCCAAAGACATTTAAAATATTATAAAACCCCTGTATTTTCTGTATTAAAATGAACCTTGGAGTAAACTACTTCTCGCATACTTTGAGTCTTCTCTCTCGTGTTCAGCTCGCTGTATAGTTCTAGCTTGGGGGTAACAGAAGAGCTTAGGAGACGAATACAGCGTTCAATCCGCAAGACTTATCACAATATTTTGAGACAACAGAAAAACTTACCTAATACTGATTTTATTTCAGTGACCCTAAGGAAAGCTGTTTCATTCCACGTTTAGAATTGGTGGTGATTAGGATCAGCTAATTATCAAGATAACCACTACTGACAGGTGGAATCGACACCTCAAAAACATACGGAGAATGCTTATCAGCTGGTTAACTTGAAAATCGGTATTGAAGTTATTTTCTATATGTGGGTTTGCATTTCTGGAGAATCTTTTGGTAAAATCCATCAACTGCATTAGTTAAACTACAGACGTTGTCTGCATACGTTTATTCGAAAGAATTCATACACAATAAAGTAAGAAGTGAATGAGAAAGTGGGCTAAAAATGATTATACTACAAATTTAACATACCTTACAGTAAGGCCAGCGAAGTTTAGGGTCGTATACACATAGTCACCACCAACAAACATCCCACCATAGGTCACCAATATATTCTGTTCAAAAAGATGGAAATTAATTAGGTTTAGAAATAGTTTGAAAGCAATTAGTTATTACTTACTGCTTCTAAAGATTCTCTTCTTTCTTTTACTTAAACTTATCATTATCGAATGGATAATCATCCTACAGAATTACCATCCATAATAATAATAATCTTTTTACATCAATATTTAGAACCATTAGGCAACCTTCTTTTAATTGCTTTTAAAAATTCAGTCGGGTTTAGGTATTAACAATAAGCTGACTTTCGAATAATTACTAAAATTCCCATTCTTTTCTTTAAATTAATCTTATTTATTCTGAAAAACATAACTAAACATCGAAACATTACACATCAACAATTGTAAGCTTGAATAACGTTGACTGTTTTTCAACGCAAAAATAATTACTCTATATATACAACAAAGTGACTCACTTTAATGACACCTAAAATGCTAGTTGTTAATGCAGAAGTATATTGAGTACATTGAACAAGAGTATAGTTTAATGCCACAGCAGAACAACAGGAGAACATAAAATACAATAAAAATAGAGGATCTAGCCAATGTTCAAATTGAATTATCTATGACAGAGAGAACCAAAAAAGGAAGAAAAAGAAAACGTTATAGTGTTATGTGATGACAACTACAGTGGTCTTGAGTGCTGTTAGAGGCATGAAAGCAGTTATCACTTCCCGGTTACCCACACCATGGAAGGGTTCTTCTGGAAGTACCTGGAAAGGAAATTGTGTTAGGGGCGGTTTTACTAACCTGAGAGCGTGACCTCAGTACCCAAGGGACAACTGCTTGAGGTTGGTCATACACGACCTTTTTGTGAGTAGTTTTCGTGTTAGCTCCGTACTTACTGGAACCTTACCGCTCGAGACGGACATCCGTGGGATAAGGCGAGGTGTGTATTTTTACGGTCGACCTTTTCTAACCCCACCCCTCCTTGTGGGAAGGCAGCATCGTTGTTATGCTTATTGTCTGAAGGAAACACCTTACTGCCGTCACACCTCTGTACAGTCAGCAGTACGACTTCGCCCTCAGACCTTGGGTTTGCTGCTTTTAGTCGTACATCTCTTCAACCGACCTGTCTGGCATAGTAGGACCTTGAGGAATGATTGTTCCAGCCAGTATAGCTCGACTGGTTCATCACGATAGGCAAGCCCGACTCTCACGTCAAGGTAGCAACAACGGTCGGGATAGTGTTATATAGGTATCAATGTCAATATTAAACTTGATAGTTTCAAATGAATTGAGTAGAAAGGTAATAAATATATTTTTTGTTATATCGAACTGAGTAGAAATGCCCTGGTACGGCCGAGAGTGGGGAGAGTCCGCTCTCCCTCTCCAAATGCTCTCACATGGCCACGCGTATACAGCCTCTGCCAGGGAAGTCCTACTCACTGACTTCTCGTGGCACTACTGTTGTTTACGAAAATGAGAGGACGAAAAGCGAATGTCCGGCGCTTTAACCGGATTCCAAATCAATGGTGCACGTGGGCTCCAGTATCCTGCGGGAACAAATAGCGTATGAACCAATTGTTGGTCACCGGCTACCATGGGACTGTATCTCCTTACGATGCTCCACTGCCTTGTGGATCAGACCTTCAGGTCGAAGGCTTGGGGTGTGGCCCCCTAAGAAAACCACCTGCTTCGGTTTGGGCACCCGAGCAGTATCACAGCTCTCACACATATCGAATGAGATTTGTGTGGCGCATATGCATTTGGTGCCTCCTTGTACCAATATCTATGTGTTAAAATAAATAAATAAAAAATAATTTCTTACGTTACGTGACCACATGTAAGCCACTTTTTCTTAGTAAATTCTACATTGTTACCTTTGTACTATTTAAACTTGTATTAATTTAATTCGTTTATTTATTTACTTTGAAGAAGTGGCTTACATAAAGTCATGAAGCGTCAGAAATACAATGTTTCTACAAAAGATATATTTATTACTGTTATAGTGTTATGTTCAGCGAATTAAATATGAAGAAAATGTACGAATTAGAGTATTCTTTGAGATTTTAAGAGTGAAATATTTTAAAAATTAGTACTTAAGACAGAAAATTAATCAGCCAGTGCTCTCTTGAAGAAAAGTTAAAGCAATTAGTCCCTTTGGTAAATTTGGATCGTGTAATAAGTAGACGAAGATTATCAGAACTATGTAAAGCCTTGGCTACACGAATATTTAAACCCCGTTTATGTATTCAAAAACAGTTTGCTCTCTCCTCAAACCTACCATGGTAATATTAGTTTATTATTCATCACGGTGAATATCACATTATTTTCCTTATTATCTTTGTTTCTTCTAACCTTTTATTTGTCTAGTTGACCTTATATTAGTTTCACATAGAAATGTTCCTAACAAGTATATGTGATCAGATTGCTTGAAATGTATTGTGCTAATATATCACATAATTGTGATAATCTTCGTCTCATTACACTATTTGAAGAAAAGATAATTTAAGTAAAAACAATATTAGAGATGTTTCAGTTAATGAAGATCAGATGTTTATCATTGAGATGACAACGTAAAACTATTTCATATTGTTTAGCATAAATATCAATAAACTTATCATAAATCCTTTAGTTACTTTCACACTGAAATATTATATCAATGATAAAAATATTACAATAACAGTGAATATCAAAATTTAGGATGTTAGAGATATACATTATTGATAATAAATTTCAAATCGGCAAACCAATCAGGTAGGGATGAAATAGGCATAAACTATAAAAATAACTGAATGATTAACAATTCTCTCTTCTAGTTGTCTTTCAAATTAACTAAGTAATTACAACTACCTAATAAAGTAGTATTAGTAATATTTACTTGGGACTCCCTTCAGCAGTGATATACTACAGTCTAGCAAGAAATAAAACCAAAAATCTTAAGAAAACAATAACGAGTACTGGGGAGAGGAGACGATTTAAAAATACACTTGCAATGGTATCTCTAATTGAGATGGCGGAGGTTTGTAGCTCAGGTGGATGATTTTGATGGAGTTTCGTTCTCTGAGCTAATGATGAGAGCTCTACGACCAAACCATCTAGCTCAGAGGACAAAATCTCATCAAAATCTCTAATTGACTAAAGTTGAACAATGTGACTCACTTATCTCTTAGTAATTTATGAAAGTAAATTTTTAGTATCTTTTATTGTGCATCATATGAAAAATAAAATTTTAAAACATAAAATTAACTGAGTCTAACAAAATCTAAGTGGCTTGAATGTAGTTTTGAAAATTGAATCACTTATAAGTTTATGATCATTGTTTGTCAACCGATGTCCATTTTATACATCAAATCATTTCACTTGTAATCATAATTATATCTATAGATTAAATAACAGTTCTAGACTAATTCAAAATAACTGGTCTTTATGGAGAAATTTTCACAATTCTATATCTACATTTTTCATCATTTTTTGAACCGCCCCAGTGAATAAAAAAGGTATACAATACATTCTTTCCAACTCTGTTTTATGAAGAAAAGAAACTATTGATACCAAGTATTTGATTCTATTTTTACAAATAAGAATGAACAAGTTTCTAGAATATGATTGATCAATCGAAATCAAAAGATAAATTCACGTTTACTCTAATTCCGTGTAACATCTTATGACATCGGCTTAATACTTTCCAGTGTAACATCATTTTAGATCAATATATTTGTACCTATTCAGTGTAGATTTCGTTCAGTATAACAGGTGTGAACTTTCACTCAGTGTGACAATGATATTATTTGTATTGTTCCTGGGTATCCTTTCATATAACTAATCAATTGTGTAAAATCAGTATAAGTGAGTGTATTTGGTTTAATGATATGCTACAAAACTTGTTTTTGAAACGTGTTTTAGGAGGGTCAATAAATCTTCATTTGCACTGGTCTTTGTGTTTTTAATTAGCATCATAAGGATGGCAGTGGTTCTTGTTTCCAAGTACAAGCAGTAGGACCGTGGATCCAAGAGAATCGACCCATACATTACAAAAGGCAATACCCAAATGTAACAATACATAAACTATATATTTTCATCTACTTAAATTGGCAATAAATAAGAACACGTGGCAAAAAGTTGACTAATTTCTAACAGTTACAAATGCATGGCTTAATCTATCTATCTACCCATCTATCTATTTACCACAAAAAAATCATTTGTAATGCAATAGCGAAACCAAGTTAGACCACTTCTGAGAGTATTTACTTCCGAGTAATGAATATAATGTTTAAAAAATACTGAATATTTTTTCTAATGTAGTATTCATACACTGCAGGACAAAGAAACTGCCGAGTATTTTAAGCCGAGAAAGGCGAGCATAATTCGATTTTTCGCGATAGAAGACTGCTACTCGTTCTGGAATACATACCTAGACTCTGATCATTCTCTAATACGAACACGCATTTGTTTGCGCCTCATTGGACGCAGAAGAGCCATTAGGGTTGAACTCAGTGATGAGAAAGCCAAAGATAGGTTCTATGAACAAGTCACGCTTAGATAATTTTAAAAAACGAGGCTGACCCAGATGTTGCTTGGAAAGAGGTCAACCTATCAACTTAGAATACACAGATGACATAGTTCTGTTTGGTGAAGACACTGATGACATCCAATATCTTGGTAGCATTGAACAACAATGTCAGTATATTTGGGATACGTTTTTCCCCTTCTAAATGCAAATTGCTGCTTCAGGACTGGTCTGCGTCAACACCTGAACTAAGGATAGGGGATGAAGTAGTCCAACACATCGACAACTTCACTTATCTTGGAAGTCTGATCAGCCCTAATGGGTTGGTATCTGACAAAATCTCTGTACGGGTTGAGAAAGCTCGTTCGGCTTGGTTGAGGTCCACATGACTATCGTAACCAATGATTGGAGACTCTGGGTGACATGGATTGGAATCGACCACAGTGGCGTAGGTGTACACACTCTATGTCTTCTCTTGAACCATGAGGTTAAAGTCACTTTATGCCTTTCTTCCTACGAACTAATTCTTTCTTCCTGTACTATGTCCTTTTATGCAATCTTTCTTTATATATTACTACCATTGAAGTAACTACTTCTATGAACGTGGTGTTCATTTCATTGTACTAGTGAGGTATGGCAACTTGGAGCGATGCATATATGTGCCTGGTTCTACGTTGTAGATGAAGAGCTGAGTTATGACTAATTTCTCAAGCCAATTTAGTTCTATCAGTCGATATCTATGTTACCTACCTCAATTAATGTTTTTGTATGAATATAGTGGACGTACATATATGTTTCTTTTTAGAACAACGGATTCCATTTTTTAAAATTAGAAATGAGACAAATCATCGAAATTTATCAAACAGATATCACGACCGTATTGGTCAATAAAAAATTACGTACCTCTGTAAAGTCACATTGTACATATACCAAAATGAAGAGAATCGGCAGCATTAATAATGAATTAAAGTATAACAGCTCAACGCTTGAAAAATCATAATCTCTAAGTCTGGATTTTGTTAACAGTGCTTTCCCAGTTGTTGAAATATTGTTAATTAAAATATATGTATATCCAATAGGGTCAAAAGTAATATCACCACTAAAACAGAATGTTTATAAATAATCATGAAAGATTACTTACATGGCAGCGATTACTGCTCCGATAACCATAACAATGACTGACAAGTAAATAGGAATACTTCTTTTAGTTCTATGAATGTTAAAATTAAGGATAAACAAGCAGATACCCTAATAAAAGATATTCACCAACCATAATAAGAACATTAGAGATCCTTCGCAAAGCTGTAAACAAAGGTAAACTGAATACATGATTTAATGGTAACATAAGCTACCTGAGGCTTCCTGTACCGGCAATGCCCATAACAATATCAACTGCAGAAAAAATGGACAGCGGTAAAATCTACATTAAGTCAGAAATTTAAAGTTTATTTCAAATAACATACCTTAATAGGAACTTCTGTGAAATCATCTGATCGGATGCGATATGAACATAGAGTTTGTATTATTATGAAAGTAAACAGAGTCTAAAAATAAATGCTGAGGAGGTTTTTGAAGTAACTAACCTGAATTAATGCCAGCAATAAATATGAAGGAAATCTGTGAAATGAAGTTGTACAAGCGCAGGCACTTACTTGAAAGTAGTCAGGACTAATTTGTTTGAAAAAATGATAGAAATAGAAAAACTCATATATATCAGGGCGACTAAAGCAATTCTCCGTACAGACATTTCGACAATTAAAAATTTGACAGGTTATAATTTCTTTAAAAAGTATTGAGGAACTTGAGTTTTGTTTACTTTATCTCTAATGAAAAAACTGAAAAACAACAGTATAATTAGTCATAACATCAAATATAAGTATAATAAAACTGGTTAACAGATATTTGCATGTACAGGCAGCCTGTTTGAATATCTGGACTACCTGTTCCTGCCATCAAGATATTTTAACAAGTTATTTGTTTCCTTGTTTGTTTTAACAGATCATTATATCAATTAATTGCATAACCTATTCGGATGCGTTTGTGAAAAGTTTACCACCTCTCGCTGTACAAGTTAATAAAATTTACAAAAGGAGACATCGTGATGGCTGGCAATGTGTATTGAAAGGAATGAATATTATTCAGATGTAGACTTCTGAAATGCTTATATCTAACTGGCGATCACTCAATATTTGTCGTCAATATCGACCAAGAAATAAAAGGGGGAAACTCGCTGAAATAATTTGTGCCGAGAATTCTTTATTGTACCGGAAATATAATATTGAATAAAGCCAATAATAATAATTAAACATAATTTTCATCAGCAATTTATTTATTTCCACTCATAAAAAGACATATATTTGTCAAAGACCTCAGAAAACAGTCCAAACAGTCGAAATTAGAATTATTGCAAATATCCTTGTTGCTTTAAAGCTTTGTATCCAATTATTAGCAAATGTTGTTAAGGTGTGGTCTTTTTGTTTATTAGTTCATTTAATTCCACTGGTGGATGTTGTATATGCCATATGCTACTTAAACAGTTGGACTTTTGTTTCAGAAGAGTATCAGTTAGTAGATACAATGGTCGCCTAGATGTGACCGCAGTTCAGTCAGTCAGTAACAACGTAGAACTTCGTACGTACGTACATCAGTTCGAGTTGCCACACCACATTAGCACAGAGATGCAGTTGTCGATTCAAATCCCGTAGTGGTAGAGGTAATAAGAGTATAAGCAGTAATCGGGAAGATTAGGGTTTGGAGATGTTATTTAAAGAGTATAATCCAGTGAAATAAATTTGGAAAGAGGAAAAAAGGGACATGAAGGATTCAGAAGATTAGAATTTGGGAGAACACAGAGAGTGGATGCACCTGCGCCATTGCAAACGATTTTGAGCCATGTCATTCAGGGTCTCTAACCATCGGTTGCTATCATCTCGCGGTCCCCAACCAGGTAGTCTACACCTACCAACATGACTCAGTCCACTTGTCAGTGACTTCATGGACTTGTGCCATGTTTTGGTTTGGCCGCCCCTAGCTTTCTTCCAACCTACTCCTATACCACTGAACATAGCACGTCGAGGCAGTCGGTCGTTGGGCATACGTAACACGTGTCCCAGCCATCTCAACTGATGAAGTTTCACTACTTCATCAATTGATTTGCCATCCTTACCTAGTACCCGTTTCCTAACAACTGTTACTTACTCGATGGTCCCATGATATACGAGCAATGTTTCGAAGACACCTATGATCAAATACTAGTAACCTACGGATATCCTCTACTCTTACCGGCCATGTTTCACTGCCATAAAGTAGGACGGAACGAACTGCTGCGCAGTAAACACGTCCTTTGGTTGATAGACGGATATCTCGCCTACGCCATAAATGACGCAAGTTGGCAAAAGCTAGTCGAGCCTTCTGTATCCGTGCTGAGATTTCGTCACACACTAAACCACAAGGGCTGATGAGACTTCCAAGATAAGTGAAGCGGTCGACACACTCAACTACTTCACTCCCTATCACTAGTTCGGGTGTCGATGTAACCCAATCCTGAAGCAACATTTTGCATTTCGAGGGAGAGAATCGCATCCCGAACATGCTTGCATTGTTGCTTAGAGTGGTCAGAAGACTCTGCATTTTGTCAGCGTCTTCACCAAATAAAACTATGTCATCAGCATATTCTAAGTCAACAAGTGAACCTCCCGGTAGAAGTTCAACCCCTGGAAATTTAGATGAGGAGAGTGTTATCTCTAAAAGTACGTCGACCACAAAGTTGAACAAGAATGGGGAGAGTGGACAGCCCTGACGAACACCACTTGAGGTAATCAATTCTGATGACAGTTCGCCATAAGCTCTCACTCTACCAGTTGTGTTCGAGTAGAGAGCCTTTATAAGGTTAATGTACTTCTTTGGTACTCCTTTCAGTGACAAACACTGCCATAGAACCTCACGATCAACAGAGTCGAATGCCGCCTTAAGGTCGAGAAATACTACCATTGTGGGGCGTCTGAATGTGTGTCTGTGTTCTAGAACCTGACGTAGTGTGAATATCTGATCTATACAACCACGTCCAGGTCGAAAACCGGCCTGGTTTTCTCTAGTCTGCTCTTCACGAGCTTTGATTAGGCGTCGAAGTATTATTGAAGCTAATATTTTAGACACTATATTAGTCAAACTGATTCCTCTGTGATTGTCACAAGAGGACTTTTGTCCTTTCTTATAGACTGGCACAATCAGTGATTGAGACCAGTCAGATGGGATTACGTCCAGTTCCCAAATTCTACCTAAGACCTCGGTTAATCTCATTGCTAATACTGGACCACCATCCTTAAAAATCTCAGGAGTAAACCTGTCAGGGCCTGCTGCTCTCCCTCGTTTCAGATTTCCTATGGCTTTTTCAACTTCGTAAAGGGACGGAGGACCTACATTAACTTGCCATTCAGGTTGACTAGAGATCGTGGGAAACCGAAGTGTGGCTGAAGGCCAGTTGAACTGATCCCTAAAGTGTTCTGCCCATCGATCCAATCTCCTGGATTGAGAATGAATAATATGTCCATCTTTCTCTGAGATTGTTTCGCTAACGGTCGGGTTCCTAATTCCGGTTTCCTTAACGAGTCTGAACAATTGTCTGCTATTACCTATTGCCGCTGCCTTTTCCATCTCTCTTGCTTTCGCTACCCACCACTGTTCGCGATCATTGCGTAGACTTCTTGTCAGCTTGCGCTTAAGCTGACTCCGCTCTTCATTATGTTCAGAGCCAGGTGGAATGAGTTTCCGAGCATCTATCAGTGCGATAGATGCTGCTGAGATCCAGTGTTGCTCCCTAACCTTCTGGTTTACCTTACTAGCAGATATCACTGCTGTTTCCACAGCTTTTCGGATATCATTCCATGCTGCATCGGGGTGGGCATCACATACATGGCTGCCTAACTGTTTTCCTAGTTGTTCCTGAAATATACTCTTAGCTTGACTATCATTAAGTAGGCCCTAAGAGGTTTCCTTGCAGCGTCTTTCCTACGTCCAGTAAGACGCAAGCAAATACGCGCTCGCACTAGAGCATGATCTGAATCTAGGCATGTGCTCCAGAATGAGCGACAGTCTTCTATCGAGCCCCTCCATCGGTGGCTGATAGCGATGTGATCTATTTGGGTCCAACGTTGGGACGAATTAGGGGGTCGCCATGTTAAAAGATGTTTTTCCTTATGCTTAAAGTTAGTATTTGCAAGGAACAGGCGGTTATCTGAGCATAGCTGCAACAGACGGTCGCCATTATCTGTTCTTTGAGCCACGACACCATAAGATCCACCTAGGTGTCTTTCCCTATCGCTTAGTTTACCTACTTGAGCATTAAAGTCACCGGCCACTATTACTACATCCGAGCGCTTAGCTTTTCGGAGAAGGTCCGAAAGCTTTCTGTAAAACTCATCTTTTACATCATCTGAGCTGCAGTCAGTGGGAGAATAGGCAGAGACGACGAAGAGGCAACGACGAGTGTCCCTATCTTTCCGGATTCTTACTGTTCCGTTCAGTCGGACAGCGCACAAACGACTGTCTACTGGGATCCACTCTAAGAGAGCTAGTTCTGCCCTAGGACTCAATGCTATACCTACGCCGGCGAGGCCACGGGAAGCAGAATCAGGGCTTCCAGATACACGAAGCGTAAATCGAGTCGGTTCTTTATTTTGGCATGGTGAGGTCAAATGAATGACGCTACTTGGATCCTGTATGCGCGTTTCGGAGACGCAGCACACATCGATGGCGCGAGATTCTAAAGTTTTAGCTAAGGAAGCCTGCTGTCCTATTTGGCAAAGTGTTCGTACGTTAAAAGCTCCTACGTGTAGTTTAGAGCGTGGTTTCAGGAGACCAGGAATGGCGTTCCACGTACTCGAATCGTTTGCCCTAGCGGTGCGAGGTGATAAAGAGACGTGAGGAGGGTTAGTCATGGAGATAAGAGAGGTATTAGGAGGTGTAGGAAGGATTTGAATGTGACCACCTTGGTCTCTTGTGCTGTTACGGGTATGAGGGCTGATGTCACTTCCCGGCTGCCCACACCGTGGAAGGGTATTTCTTGAGGAACCTGAAAAGGAAATTGGATTAGTGTTGGTCTTGACGACCTGGGAGCGTGACCGCAGAGCCCAAGGGACAACTGCTTGAGGCCGGTCGCGCACGGCCTTTTTGTGGAAGGTTTTTGACGTGTTAGCTCCGTTCTTCAAAGGGCCTTACCGCCGGAGACGGAAATCCGTGAGGTAAGGTGAGGTGTGACATTTTTAGGGTCGACCTTTTCTAACCCCACCCCTCCTTGTGGGAAGGCAGCATCGCTGTCATGCTGGTTGTCCGAAGGAAACACCTTACTGCTGTCACACCCTCTACAGTCAGCAGTACGACTTCGCCCTCAGACCTTGAGTTGCTGCTTTTAGTCTTACCGTTCACCAATCGACCTGCCTGGCATGGTAGAACCTACAGGAACATATGTTCCAGCCAATATAGCTCGGTTGGGTCATCACGATAGGCAAGCCCGACCACCGCGTCAAGGTAGCAGCTTCGATCGGGGTGACCGCAGTTAATGTAAACAATTCAACTTATTTTCAGTTTAATAAGCAGACTTATATTACAATCAATAAAGACTTTTGGAATTACCGATTACAATCTACTGCACACACTCATGACACACTATTTTGATTTCTTATGCTTTGTTTGACTGTCAACGATCAAAATAATTTCAAACAAATTAGATGAGACTATATCTACATTACT